ATGGCCACATATGTACACATGTGCTTGATACAATTGATATAAGAGCTATAAGAACCCCTGGGAAAATGATTTATATATATATATATTTTTTTAAAAACCACCTAGGCACAACTTTCCTGCCTTTTTTCTCACAAATTCCGTTTTTCATTTTCTTAATATTTCTTCATAAAAAGTCTCATTATCATCCTGTGTCTCTGGAGGGAAATCTGTCAAGATTACCCCTGTGGAGTTGCAGAAAGCAGTCACCAAAGCCTTCCGAGCGACCCCCTGCCTTGAATTTGATTGGTTCGGCAGATCCCCTCAGGCACCACTATTTTAGATATTTTTTAAGATGCTTGCAGGACACGAAGACAAATGCACTACTGCGAGAACTTGTCTGCAGCCCTCCACGGATTGCATAGACATGTTTCAGCGTATTCCGCTTGGACAAAAAACACATGCCTGTATGAACTGGAAGCTTAGTAGCAATATATTTGGCTCAGTGTTATATATGTCCAGTTATGCTTTAAGAGCAAAAGACATATTGCATGTGGTAAGTCTGCTGTGCAAGACCTCTTTAGAGTATTGGAAAGCCAGGATGTTACTTTGAGGTCTAAGGTGTGTCTGACCCCAGCCATGGTATTCTCCCTTGCATCATATGCCTGTGAAAGTTGGACATTGCATAAGGAAGGCTGCAGAGGAATCAGTGTATTTGAACTGTGGTGCTGGAGAAGAATGTTGACATACCATGGACTGCCAAAAGGACAAGCGGATCTGTACTGGAAGAATTAAGGCCAGCGTGTGCCTTAGAGGCAAGGATGGCAAGACTTCATCTTACATGCATGGGACATATTGTCAGGAGAGACCAGTCCCTGGAGAAGGACATCATGTTGGTAAAGTAGAGCGGCAGCAAGAAAGAGGAAGGCCCCCTGACGAGATGGATTGGAAGCGGTGGCTGCGTCAACGGGCTCAGGCATAGGAGCAATTGTAAGGATGGTGCAGGACTGTGCAGTGTTGTCATCCTGGTGTGTACACTGCTGCTCTGGGTCGGAGCCAACACCGTGCACCTCACCATAAAAAAAGAGCTGTAGCAAAGGATGCATGTTTTTATCTGAATATAATATTTCATCTTCTTAATTCAGTAACGAAATCTGTGTGTCACTCTTTTGACTTGAACACATCTAACTTTAATAGTGCCCCATATTTCTCGGATTGTGTGTAGGTTTTATATTGCAAAGCCTCTCAATTTAAAGAAACATTGCAGATTTTCCTAAGGTGTGTTGAACTCTTGGTTCTGTAGTTATTCACTTTGGACCCGGGGAAAACCCTCCGGAAGACACGGTCATGATGAGCACACCGGTGGTGACCGCTGCCTTGGAAATGGGCTTCGGTCGCAGGCTGGTGAAACAAACGGTTCAGAGCAAAATCCTAAGGACTGGAGAGAATTATAAGACTGTGAGTGATCTTGTCTTAGATATACTCAATGCAGAAGACGAAATAAGACAAGAGGAGAAAGAAAAAGCAGCTGAGGAAAAGAAATCAGGTATGTCTATTGAGTCTTGTAGTCCCTGTGCTTATAAGGATTTGATATGACTGTATATAAAATCACCCCAAACCAAACTCACTGCCAAGGATTCTGACTCATACTGTCCCCCTCGGACTGCGTAGGACGTCCCCTTTGGGTTTCCACTACTAAATCTTTACTGGAGCAGAGAGCCTCACCTTTATCCCACCAGGGGGTTTGCAGTTCAAACCACCGATGTTGCAGTTAGCAGCTCCACGTGAATAAGTTCTTGAAAACCTACTTGTCAGTTAATCTAGTCAGATTTTTCTGATGTTTTGTATTTGAATTCTGAAGTTTCTTCCCTTGAACTAGGATTGAATTGCTTAGCCAATAGAAACATGTATACGCTGATAGAAAAATACATGTGCGGAGTGAAAAGAGAGTCTTCTACTTTGTAGTTCTACTCTGAGTTGACTGTGTAGGTAATTATCCGTGACACACACTCATCTGCTTTACACTGGAGTGTGATCAGGGAGGCTTACTCATTTTCATATCATAGTGTATCTCCGCCTGCTTCTATAAGCGAACACACAAATGATGGCGAACCTTTGACCCGTCCGTTATAAGAACAGAGCTCCTCTTCAGAGTATGTGTTCTTAGATAAGTCCTGGGTGCCTGCTTCACCAGTCTGCAGGAGAGGTCACCCCAGGCCTCTCCGTACCAACCGTGTCTGCTCCTCGGTTGCCTCTCTTGAAAATTCTCTTCTGGGCATGCCCATTCTGGTGGCTCTCATTATTACCCTCTTTCTTGCCAAAGACAGAGACAAATGCTGACCTTCCTGCCACTCTTACCCAAGCTTGGACGAGAGGCCCTTCAACACCGCAGAGAACAGACAGGAACTTTTATTTGGTTAAAGGCGTAGCCATCTGCAAACATACCTGGGAACACACATCCCGATCATCTGACTTTTTGCCAGTTGCCTGCCCTTTGGCAAGTGCTTTGCCTCACTGGCTCTCAGTTTTCTCATCTGTCTTGGTGTTAGCTTGAAGCTTGCTAACATGAGGATGAAATGAGTTAATGCTTGTAAAGTGTTTCACATTGTGATTAGGAATTACTCCTTTTAGTATAATGTAGCTTTACTGTTAGGTCAAGGGGAATTCGCTCAGTGTGACATTAGCATGTATGTAGTAGTACATATTCATGTAGCATTAGACATCACATTACTATTGATGTAGTGTTCCGATTAGGTAAAGGGAGCTTCATTATCCCCACCCCAAACCCACCACACAACTTTAAGGCTGACTGACTCAGGCTAATGGATGGTTTTCATTCAGCTGTGTATATGAATGCTAATGGAATTTTTTGAGCCGAGGCTGAACATGTTTGTGTTTGTTTTCTTTCTGTTTTCTTCTGTGAAGATGATCTGTCCTTGATTCGGAAGAACAGAATGGCGCTTTTCCAGCATTTGACTTGTGTGCTTCCAATCTTGGATAGCCTACTGATTGCCAGAGTAATTAATGAACAAGAACATGATGTTATTAGACAGAAAACACAGATACCATTGCAAGCAAGAGAACTGATTGATACTATTTTAGTAAAAGGAAATAACGCGGCCACCATATTCAGAAACTCCCTCCAAGAAAATGACCCCATGTTGTATAAGAATTTATTTGGTAAGTGATGGGAAATTATTTGGGAGATATTTTTAGGTAAATTGAAAATGCTTTCATTCATAACTTATGATGATTGAAAATAATTAAATTAAAAACATAGACCATTAATTTTACAGACTTCTACACTGAAAAACTTAAAATCCACAGAGAAATTAAAGAACTTGTTGCATTCAGGCAATTATTTAGACCCTCTGTCCAGTATAAAGTGTTATTTTTGAAACATGAATCACAACCTGACTTGGTGCAGTAATGCTTTTTCTGTTTCTCCCACAGTGCAACAGGACATAAAATACACTCCCCCAGAGGATGTCTCCGGTAAATAGTATTAGTGCTCTAAACCATTATTTTCTTGGCTTTTCATTAGAGAGCAAATTGCCTTTGAATAAAAATCCCTTTCTCTTCTCAGAGCTGTCCGTGGAAGAGCAGCTGAGGAGGCTACAAGAAGAAAGGACGTGTAAAGTGTGCATGGATAAGGAGGTGTCCGTCGTGTTCATCCCGTGTGGCCATCTCGTGGTTTGCAAGGAGTGTGCCCCGTCTCTAAGGAAATGTCCTATTTGCAGAGGGACCATCAAGGGCACCGTGCGCACATTTCTTTCATGAAGAAGCCCCAAACCTTGTCTAAACGTGTCGAGCGAATGAACTGAAATATCTTGGACTTTTAACTTTGCTGCCAGTTGAGTTTCTTTTAAAAGCTATTTATTTAAAACCCAGAGAAATAATGTGTCGTATAAATAAATACACGAAGAGTTAAATATTAAGGTACAACTATATTTCTGAAACATGTGCATGTGTTTTGATAAAGCAGCTATAGCACTACCAACCCAATCCTAAATGAACACTGCCGACCTCATCAGGGAAGTGAGTTTAAGGTTGTGAGGGGACCTTCCGAAAGTTTCAGGGTTGTGAAGTTGCACCGAGGAGGCTCTGTCGCTTTCAGCCAGGCAGAGGTCTCCGTGTTGCTGACTAACTTGCCAGGCGCATGGTGACTAATGCTGTTTTGTGTTCCGTGTGCAGTCATTGAATAAAGTATTTTTTAATGCTGTCTTAAATATATTTATTGGCAATTTAATCACATCCAGGCGCCTCCCATATCTCATTAAGACCCCTTCAGTGTCAAATCACAGTATAGCTCCTTATCTATAAATGCTTCTGAATTTACACTTCTCGGGCAGAGCAGTCAACCATACTTTTTGCCTCTGTCCATAAACTTTATGGGATGCCTGAGGCGCAAATCAAATACTCTGTCCATTGATTCATTTAGGCCATCTTATGCCAGCTCTACCCATTGGGAAAATCCCCTAATTTTCTTCTCAGCACGTTGAGATTGGGGGCTGTTGAAAGGATGTTGGCTAGCAGGCCCTGGGCCCAACAGCTTGTTTTGATAACTAACCCTAAACTGCGGTGCGGCAACATTCTGTCGTCCCATAGCAGGTGATCTGACCTACTACAGGCCGGGCACTGTTTGCAAGGGGTGAGGTGGGGGGTGACATTTGATCATCCCACCCACTCCAAACTGCTTCAGTCCCCAGAATTGGGTCCCTGATTTAAACTGCAACATACACTGTATCACGATAGTGCTATAATTCAGACCGCTGCAGGTACTTACTTGTATCTTTAAGTAATGCTCATTATAGCTTCCATTTACACATCAATACGGTTTTCAGTTTTCTTACTACTTCACCATAAGTCCCTGCGAACATCCCATGATCACTGAGAACAATCTATCAAGATTCCCCTTTGGGAATCTCCAAACGAACAGAGGCCAACACCTTCTGAGAGGACCTCTCGGACCTGACTTTAACTGGCCAAGCAGAAGCCACTGTTCTGATGGGATCTTATCTGGTTTATTATATAAAATCAAGACGTCCCCAGTTATGATTTGATCCATAAAGGCATCATTATCTTCATTCTTCCCTAAAAGACTGAAGGGAAGATGAACTACACGAGCTAGCTAATCTTTGAGTAATCATTTTGGTGCCACTGCAGCAGAAATGTTCTGAAGCCAAGATTCTTGTTCCCTTAAAATGGCAAATGCTGAACATTGGAGACAGAACCCACAGTAGCTTTGGCCTCCATGGGAACTCACAGCCTTCTTTCGTGCGTTTCTGAACTCCAGCCACGTTCGTCGAGGTTGATGGTCTTCCTCCTGTTGGCTGAGATTTCCTCCTGTTGGCTGACGTTCCTCAAAACCTCTGATCCATTCCCAAACTCTTGTTTTACGTGGGCAGCATTTTTATCAACTTGCTAGAGAGCTGCAGTGATTTGGCAAGGTGTCCACATGAGTTTGGCTAAAACTTTGATAATAGCTCTGACCTCAAAATCATTTTTTTCCATGGCACACAATGGGAACACTTCTTATGAGGGCACACCACCAAGTGTGTTATTGAGAGAACTTGCCTGCAATTGTCCACTGACCACAGAGATACAAACATTCTTTGGAATAAATCTGCACGTATGAACTGCAACCCCAGTAACAATACTTTTGAATTTTGTATTCCCATTGTACTCACAATGGACTATTACTCAGCCATATAGAGAAATGAAGCCCAAGACAAGTCACCACATGGGTGAATTCTGAAAATGTAGCATGAACCAAGTCAGTAACAAAAAGACTAATGCAGTATGCTCTTACTCGTATGCAGTGTCTAGAATAAGCAAAGGTATAAAGATAAAGTTTATTTAGTGGTTAGGAAGAGCATGAAGGGGAAGGATACAGGCCACCCCTTAGGAAGCGGACAGTTTCTGTTCATGGTAGAGGAAAGTCCCCCCAAATCGAAACTGCCTGCATTCACGTCAATTCCGACTACCAGAGACTCGATAGTGGACGGCCTCTGAGGAGTCCCAAGAGTGTGACCATTTGCAGGAGGGGAAAGCCTCATTGTGTCTCCTCCGGGGTAGCTGGTTGTTTCAAAGAGCCGACATGGCGGGCAGCAGCTGAACTCTGAAACCACGAATTGGAGGTAGTTGTACAACACGATTAATGGGATGATGATGCCATTAAGAGGCAGGCATAAAAAATGTTCAATTAGCACATATTGTGTGACCTATGTCACCAAAACTTTAAAAGCTGCAATTAAAAAAAATCATTTTATTGGGGGCTCATAAAACTCTTATTACAATCCATCCATCCATCCATCCATCTTGTCAAGCACATTTGTACATTTGTTGCCTTCATCATTTTCAAAACACTTTCTTTCACTTGAGCCCTTGATATCAGCTCCTCATCCTCCCTCCCTCATGAACTCTTGATAATTTATATATATATATTTTTCATGTCTTACGCTGACCGATGTCTCCGTTTACCCACTTTTTTGTTGTCCATCCCCCTGGGAGGGGGTTATAGACCTATCATTGTGATGGGTTTCCCCTTTCTCCTCCCACCTTCCCCTTCCCCTCCTGGCATGGCTACTCTCAATATTGGTCCTGGACTCCCTGTGTTTCCAGCTCTTATTCGTACCCATGTACATGCTCTGGTCTTGCTGGATTTGTAAGGTAGAATTGGGGTCATCATAGTGGGGGGAAGGAAGCATTAAAGAACTAAAGGAAAGTTGTATGTTTCATCGGCAGCTCTGAACGACACTAACAAGCACATGGTTGAAATGATAAATGCACCCTGACAAGCTTGTCTCCTTCCCAAGACCCTTCTGTAAGGGGATGTCCAATTGCCTACAGATGGGCTTTGGGGCTCCACTCCGCACTCCCCCTCATTCATAATGATATGATTTTTTGTTCTGGGTCTTTGATGCCTGGTACCTGACACCTCATGATCACATAGGCTGATGTACTTCTTCCATCTTGACTTTGATGCTTCTTTGTCTTGTTTATCTTCAAGCCTTTAAGACCCCAGATGCTACTATATCTTTTGATAGCCGGGCACCATCAACTTCCTTCACCACATTTGCTTATGCACCCATTTTATCTTCAGCGATCATGTCGGGAAGGTGAGCATCATGTTAATAAAGCAAGATGCTCTTGCATTGAGTACCTGAGCGGAGGCCCAATGTCCATCTGTTACCTTAATGCCAAACCTATAAATATATGCACATAGATCTATTTCCCCACCGAAATATGTAAGTATATTTACAAATGTACAGGCCTGTATTTAGACCTCTCTAAATACCCTTTGCCTCCCAGTTCTTTCCTCTATTTGCAGAGGCTGCAACTTAACTCAAGTAATATAATTAATATTTTATAATTATAATAATGTTAAATTTTTAGGTTTGCACTTGTTTTCCCAATTCATTCAGTTATTTTACCCCCCTCCTCCACATTTTCAGTGTAGAATTGCTGGTGATTTCAAAAAGATTGTGTGTAACTGGTGAGTAGTCCCTGGATCGTACAAACAAGTCAGTGCTTTGCTACTAACTTCCAGGTCAGGTGTTCAAATGGACCCGGAGGCAGCTCAGAAGAAAGGGCTGGAGACCAGAGGCACCTCAGGAGAAAGGGCTGGAGACCAGTTCCGATGTCATGGAGCATGGTCTTACCCTACTGCAGGGGTGGGGTGGGGAGGTCACCACGAGTCTGAATAGACTTAATAGCAACAAGCAACTGGCTATATATCTGCTGCTGAGCTAATTATTCAAACCATAACAATTAAGATGCTCTAGCATTATTCTCTCAGTAACTGCATCACCACCGTCCTCTAGTTGGTTCTGGCTCATAGCGACCCTCTGCAGGGTGTCCGAGTCTGGAAGTCTGTCCGGGTGGAGACAATTTTGTCTTTCTCCGGCAGAGTGCCTGGTGGGGTTCGAACCACTGGCCTTGTGGTTAGCAGCTCAATGAGGTCAGTAAACAGATCCCGGGACAAAGGGTTTGGAACTCCACTGGGGCACCTATAGAAACTTGATACACTGGTAAGATTATAGACCAGCGAAGAGAGGATTGCCCAGTCAATAATAATAAACATTATGTAATATGTAAAATTTTTAGGTAACAATAAATGATGTCAACTCATTCTTTAGTCTTATAAAGCTAGATCACTAGTGTATAATATTCTGTAAACAAAGTAAACTCTCAGCGAATAAAAACCTGAAGAATGGGTAGCATACAAAAATTCTTAAGCAAGACTCAGAAAGTACAAACTAAAGGGAAAAAAAATGATGACTATAGTTCTATTAGCATAGATGTCTTTTGTTGAAAGAAATACTAGTAACATCAAAAATGAGCTAGGTGACAGTGAGCGTTTTGGAAGACTCGGGAGGGG